TACATGTGGCAGGGAACTCCACAGCTTCAGCTGATTGGATTGGCAGCCTTCTGTCATGTGACAGTTTCCAGTAGATTTGGGCCAAACTGATTTATCTCATCCCTGCTGTTGAAAAGTATACGGGAGCAATCTAACTTCCCAGCTGCATATACCATTATAAATGCCTCTTGATTACTCCGATAGGAAACAAATTATCTTTAATAGTATCATGAAGCTGTGCTTCATGCGTCTGACTACAGGGCCTTTGTAAGAAAAGGAGGCTTCAGGCTGTGGGACTGCTCATGGTCAAGATCAGGTAATGCCCCTATGAAGATGATAACCAGGATTCTCTCCAAACTGCTAGCAACAGCAAGTACCCAGCTGTTCCATCTCCTTCTATGCAAAAATCTTGCATATGTTGCTGATTTCTATAGGAAGTACAGTAGACACATAGACAGCTACACTCACAGCACGATGGGATTGAATCCCTCTTGCATTGTGGATCAGGACAGGAGCATTTGTGCTTTTCAGTTTCTCATTGTCAGGTCCCCAAGAAACTTGTCCAATTATAGTACAGAAAAGTCCCTTAATCAATAAAACCGTCTATAAAAACATTTAAGAATCATTTTCATTTCAATATTCCTATACAAATACGCCTGAGCCAATGTTCAAGTATTCACAGAATGTTCTGTATAAAAAAAAAGTTTCTTCTCATTTTTCCATTTTCTCCTTTAGTGGTCTTTTGAAAAATCCAAGCTGTGAAGCAAAAAAAAAAAAAAAATTATGTTATTCCAATAGAAATTAATTTAATCTAAAGGTAACAACATCCAAAACTGACATCCCAGTACACAGTATATGCAGGCGTGCTGTAGTACATTCTACATTTCTCTCTGTAGATCTCCAGTGGTTAGTCCTCACATCTGGCATTGCCTTTTATCAAACTTTGATTGAGGCAGTAATACTTTATCTGTGCCTACATAGGAGCTGCATGTAGAGATTAAAATGGGATAACTCATCAATAGTGTCAGAGACATTATTACCCAGTGTGTGATGCAATATAAAGATGTCCACCCAGTACTGAAATATCATTGAAGGTGAAGTTGGTCTTTAATATCCAACTCCTGGCTCAGGTTTCCCCTTATACATACTTTTTCAGATGACTTTAGGCCCCTCATGTGATGTGCAGGGTCCTCATCTACTTCAGATGTGTGGTTCTCAATAATGGGGAGGGAAACATTATGAAGTCAGCACATCCCTCTGCATTGTTGTGTATGAGTGCAGGGTGCTGTGTTGATGCTTCCAGGAGGCAGTTTCTTGAAGACCTGCACTCACAGGATGTCCTCAGTCTTTCAACCCACAAGACTAAGGACATATAATGGTGAAAGAAATTACTGCAGGGAACAGCACTGGACAAAGGTGTGTATTGTAGCCTTTGCTGGTTTAACCCCTTGCTGTAGTAGTTAAAAAAAATGTATGGAGTTGTGTTTAAATAAGTGCATGTTAAACCACAGCTACTTGTAAGAAAATATTAATTCCATATAGAACAGATACAGTCAAAGTGATTCTAAAGGCCTAATTGTTATTCTGTTAAAATAACAAACATGTAATACTTACTTGGTATGTGAAATGGTCTTGCACAGAACAGCCATGACCCTCCTCTTCTCGGGTCCCCACTGGCGCTGCTTGCTATGTGGGCACACGTGTGTGCTCACTCTGTAGCCTCTTTGTGTCAATAAGATACACAGAGTGCAGTTCAGCCCTGCTCCCTCCTCGCTGGCTCTGGTTGAAAGCAGCCAATGGTTCCCACTGCTGTGTCTGAGCCAATGAGGAGAGATAGAGAGCCAAAAGAGGCTCAGGGCTCGGGCTCGGGTAAGTATTTAGGGGGCGCTGGGGGGGAGCGGGGGGGGGGGGGGGGGGGTAAGGGCTGCTTGCAGAAGGTTTTTTTGCATTCTATGCATTAATGTAAAAAATATTTTTGCTTTAAAGGTCAGCCAATAAACATTGTTTTACTGATTTTGATGTTACCATGCTTCTTTATCTATTCTGGCAACACAACAAGACAGTGCAAAACAAGAGCAGTGACATTTTTATGAATTGTTATATTATTAGAACTATTTGCCATCCCTCCTAAATTCCTTAATGGATACATCATAATTGGGTGTGCCTGTTATAGGTGAAAATCCCAACCATGGCACCACCTGCCTGGAGTTTGCATGTTCTCCCTGTGCCTGCGTGGGTTTCCTCGGGTACTCCGGTTTCCTCCCACACTCCAAAGACATGCTGGTAGGTGAATTGGCTCCTGTCTAAATTGGCCCTAGTATGTGTATGTATGAATGTGAGTTAGGGACCATAGATTGTACACCCCTTGAGGGTTAGGGACTGATGTGAATGTATAATATATATGTAAAGCGCTGCACAAAATTGACAGCACTATATAAGTACCTGAAATAAATAATAATAAAAATAAATAAAATCTATTTTATTTACATTGGCAAATCACTTGTATATCTTTGCAAAACCATCGCAGTTGGCCACCCCAAATTTCTCTCAATGAATGTCCTTATCAATGCTAACATTGTGTGTAAGCCCACTGTTAAACCAGACACAACTGCTAGATGTGAGCTAGAAAAAAAAAAAAGAACACTGCCCCATAATTCAATGGGAATATTAGGGCTCTGATCCTACAAGTGGTTGGCAACATTATATACTGTAAATTAAAGTGGAACTTCACTCTCTCAATCAACATTGACTATTTTTAATCCTTTTGTTGCTAGCATTAGTAAATAGATAGGAAAATATATCATATTTACTTATTTTAAACAATTTTTTTAAATGTTTCTTCAGTTAGTTCCTGGATTCTTGCCTAGGCAAATGGTGTCATACACCCCAGGAGTTTCCTGGAGGGAAGGAGGGTTTTTCTCAGCTAAGCACTTCCTTCTGCTTGTATGTCTGAACAGATTTATTCCAGGAAGTAAACGTTAAATAAATCATCTTGCCCTCAAAATTGAAACAATGAATCAAACTGGTTTCTGTGTTGGTAAATTGTTTCCAAGCGCTTTGATAAATAAGCATGTCTACTTGTTTACATCATCATATGGTATGACTAGATCATTGGCATCTGCCGTGTGGCAAGGGGTGTTATCTACTATGAGGCCAAAAAGGCATTTGACGTGGGTGGCATTTATCGGGGGGGGGGGGGGGCACCGCCCCCAGGCAGCAGGGCAGAGGCAGCTCTTTAATTAGGCCTCACAGCCACCTCTACTCCTAAATAGTCAGTGTCTGAGGGCAGGGTGAGGCAAAGCAGCAGGCGGGCCCCCATGGAAGAGGTCACACACAAACTGGGCAGGGTAATGGAGGAGGTGGCTTAGTGTCTCAGGTCGGTGGGGATGTGAACAGCACAGAGTAAGAGCTCCGCAACACCGATCCTGCTTATGCCATCCTGAGTTCATGGCAAGCAAGCTTTCTTACTCGTTCTGTGCCTTCCCAAGTGCTGATTCCCTGCTGTACTCACTGATATGGTTAAGATTGGACAGGGAGCATTCCAGCCAGCTGGGGATCACACACCTCAGCCCTCCTTTGGTGACTCCAAAGATAGCAGCGGTCTGGTGGCTTCATGTGCTCTCCTCCAGCGACAGAAGCCGAAGAATACTGGGTTGAGTGCTACAATCTCCTCTCTCCCTAAAAGAGTGCCTGCTACAAAGTCCAAGCCCCTTCTACATCCGAGAACACTTTGCTGAGCTCTCCCTTCCACCCTCCCCCCCCCAGGGTAGCAGCGGTGAGGCAGCTGGGACACAGACACATCAGCCTGGGATGGAGTGGGGAGAAGAGGAGAGCACCTATACTAGCAATTCTATGACAGAAGTGTGTATAGAATAGAGAAGAGAGAGAGAGAGAGAGAGAGAGAGAGAAGTGTGTATAGTATACAGGAGGAAGAGATAGGCCTCCTGACCTCATCCAATGCCCTGCTGACCCCATCCTGTGCCCTGCTGACCCCATCCAATGCCCTGCTGACCCCATCCTGTGCCCTGCTGACCCCATCCTGTGCCCCATTGACCACATATGTTGCACTTGGACGAATCATGTCTCAGAGTCTGATGAGGAAGCTGTCGCTGTTCATTGTGAATGACTGCAGCTTCCTTATCAGACCCTGAGACAAGAACAGTATACCACGGCTGGGGTGGGACAAATTTAGTAGGGGGGGGCCCCGATTTTAATCTTGCCCAGGGCAGCAAAAAAAAAAAAATACAGTACTGTATGTGGCAGATTTTATTACCCTAATGCAGTGGTTCTCAACCTTTCTAATGCCGCGACCCCCCCTTAATACAGTTCCTCATGTTGTGGTGACCCCCAACCATAAAATTATTTTCGTTGCTACTTCATAACTGTAATTTTGCAGTGGGAGGAATAGTGCCTCATCATTGGTGTCAGTGGGAGGAATAGTGCCCCATCATTGGTATCAGTGGGAGGAGGAATAGTGCCACGTCATTGGTGTCAGTGGGAGGAATAGTGTCCCATCACTGATGTCAATGGGAGGAATAGTGCCCCATTGGTATCAGTGGTAGGAATAGTGCCCCCATCATTGGTGTCAGTGGTAGGAATAGTGCCCCCATCATTGGTGCCAGTGGTAGGAATAGTGCCCCATCATAGGTGTCAGTGGGGGGAATAGTGCCCCATCATTGGTGTCAGTGGGAGGAATAGTGCCCCATCATTGGTGTCAGTGGGAGGAATAGTGCCCCATCATTGGTGTCAGTGGGAGGAATAGTGCCCCATCATTGGTGTCAGTGGGGGAGGAATAGTGCCCCATCGTTGGTGTCAATGGGAGGAATAGTGCCCCATCATAGGTGTCAGTGGGGGGGAATAGTGCCCCATCATTGGTGTCAGTGGGGGGAATAGTGCCCCATCATTGGTGTCAGTGGGGGGAATAGTGCCCCATCATTGGTGTCAGTGGGGGGAATAGTGCCCCATCATTGGTGTCAGTGGGGGGGAATAGTGCCCATCATTGGTGTCAGTGGGAGGAATAGTGCCCCATCATTGGTGTCAGTGGGAGGAATAGTGTCCCATCACTGGTGTCAGTGGGAGGAATAGTGCCCCATCATTGGTGTCAGTGGGGGAATAGTGCCCCATCATTGGTGTCAGTGGGGGGAATAGTGCCCCATCATTGGTGTCAGTGGGGGGAATACGGCCCCATTATTGGTGTCAGTGGGGGGAATAGTGCCCCATCATTGGTGTCAGTGGGAGGAATAGTGCCCCATCATTGGTGTCAGTGGGAGGAATAGTGCCCCATCATTGGTATCAGTGGGAGGAATAGTGCCCCATCGTTGGCATCAGGGGGAGCAATAGTGCCCCATCATTGGTGTCAGTGGGAGGAATAGTGCCCCATCGTTGGTGTCAGAGGGAAGTATAGTGCCCCCATCGGGTGGAATAGTGCCCCATCGTTGGTGTCAGTGGGAGGAATAGTGCCCCATCGTTGGTGTCAGTGGGAGGAATAGTGCCCCATCCTTGGTGTCAGTGGGAGGAATAGTGCCCCATCATTGGTATTAGTGGGAGGAATAGTGCCCCATCATTGGTGTCAGTGGGAGGAATAGTGCCCCATCGTTGGTGTCAGGGGAACAATAGTGCCCCAACATTGGTGTCAGTGGGAGGAATAGTGCCCCATCGTTGGTATCAGAGGGGAAGGAATAGTGCCCCATCAGTGGGAGGAATAGTGCCCCATCGTTGGTGTCAGTGGGAGGAATAGTGCCCCATCGTTGGTGTCAGTGGGAGGAATAGTGCCCCAACATTGGAGGAATAGTGCCCCAGTGGGAGGAAGCAATAGTGCCCCATCGTCAGTGGGAGGAATAGTGCCCCATCGTTGGTATCAGTGGGGGAAGTATAGTGCCCCATCGTAGTTGGTGTCAGTGGGAGGAATAGTGCCCCATCGTTGGTGTCAGTGGGAGGAATAGTGCCCCATCGTTGGTGTCAGTGGGAGCAATAGTGCCCCATCGTTGGTGTCAGTGGGAGGAATAGTGCCCCATCGTTGGTGTCAGTGGGGGGAGGAATAGTGCCCCATCATTGGTAATAGTGACACCAATGATTGGGCACTATTCCTCCCACTGACACCAATGATACTTACCTTGCTGACCCCTGCTCCAGCCTGGGCTCGCTCGCTCCCTCCCTCTCCCATGGTACAAACACTTACTGGTCAGATGGCTTCCTTCTCCGGCCGCTTTCCTCCTCTTCACTCGCTCATGCTTCGCGGTGCCGCTCGGCTCCTCCTTTCCAAGCTCCACCTCCTCGCCGGTGATTGGCCGCCTGTGTGCCTCTCTTGAGCTACAGTTCCGGCGGCCAATCACCGACGAAGGATTGATCCCGGGGGTGTGTCCAGATGACAGGGACGGCATGTCATCCCGCCCACACCTGCAGACGGATCAAGGAGCAGTGTCTCGGTTCCTAAGGCCATCGGAAATATGTGTTTTCCGATGGTCTTAGGCGACCCCTGGGAAAGTGTCGTTCGACCCCCAAAGGGGTCGCGACCCCCAGGTTGAGAACCGCTGCCCTAATGTATATGTAATCTCAATCACTAAATTCTCAAATAGGCTTCATCATATTGCGCTCAGACCTCCATTTGTTGCCTGAGCAATACGTCTTTATTGCTTGTCCCAGGAGCCCCAGTTCCCGGTTCTAGTTCTACAGGTTCCTGACTTACTACAGGAGATGACCAGAGACTGCAGACATAGTACAGGAGATGACCAGAGACTACAGACATAGTACAGGAGATGACCAGAGACTGCAGACATACCACAGGAGATGACCAGAGACTGCGGATGTACTACAGGAGATGACCAGAGACTTCAAATGTACTACAGGAGATGACCAGAGACTGCGGACATACTACAGGAGATGACCAGAGACTGCAAATGTACTACAGGAGATGACCAGAGACTGCGGACATACTACAGGAGATGACCAGAGACTGTGGATGTACTACAGGAGATGACCAGAGACTGCAGACACAGTACAGGAGATGAACAGTGACTGCAGACATAGTACAGGAGATGAACAGTGACTACAGACATAGTACAGGAGATGAACAGTGACTGCAGACATATTACAGGGAATGACCAGAGACTGTGGACATAGTACAGGAGATGACCAGAGACTGCGGACATAGTACAGGAGATGACCAGAGACTGCGGACACAGTACAGGAGATGACCAGAGACTGCGGACACAGTACAGGAGATGACCAGAGACTGCGGACATAGCACAGGAGATGACCAGAGACTGCGGACACAGTACAGGAGATGACCAGAGACTGCGGACATAGTACAGTAGAGCCGAGTGGCTGGCCCGGTATTCTAACGCGGTGGCAGCGGGAATACTGGGCCGACAGCTCCATATTCGCTCCATAAGATGCACAGATATTTTCTCCCATTTTTGGGGGGAAAAAAGTGCGTCTTATGGAGCGAAAAATACGGTACTTGATTTAAAAAAATTGCAAATGTTTATGATATCTAGTACTTTAGCAAATTAATTACTATTCAGTTAGTGTTTATACTTGCTTTAAATTTATAACCAGTGATCCAGAATTTGAGCATACGTACCTTCCACATTGCAAAAATGATAAGCGCTAATATGAGTAACCCTATAATGATGCTTAGTGGAATGACCCAGATTGGCACCTTCCCGTACTCCAACTCTTTAGACAGTTTAATCATTGTCTGCAGATTAAAAAAAAAATAGAGACAATAAAAACAAAAACCCCCTAATTTTCCAAGCATTTAGGCCTCTTATAAAATAAGCATGCAGCGCTAAAACTGTATCAACATAAAATATAAAGACCATCTAGGCCAAAAGTCCAATTTTTATCTGTATGATCTGGATCATCATATATAGTAGTTAGCAAATCACTTATATTAATAATAGCACATAGGGTTAAATCAATAAAACTCAAAAACGCAGTATGGCGTGATGCAAATAAACTTTGTGAAAAAAACGTCCAAACTTGGCGTTTAAAAGTGCATAAGGTTTGAGCTTCCTTTGATAACGTACGGGTGCATGAAACATGTTAGGATGCTGCCCTACTTAGTGACGTCACACTGCGTGGCCCCCCTGGACGGCCGGCGACCATCTTTACTATTATCAGTTCACTTGAAGTGTGTGTGTACCTACTTTTATTCATGTTACCCAGTGTTTATATTAACCACATGCCGCCCAGCCACTGTAGAAATACGGCGGTAGGGCAGCACGACTGGGCAAAACCTTGTTTTAAAATGTGTGTTTTGTAAACAGGTAGGGGGCGCGCGCGAGGCGCTGCTGCCGCCCTACCTGTCCTGCCGATCACAGCCGCGGATGTCAGTCGCCGGGTCACAGCCGGTCCTTACTGGCTATTTCCCAGCGATCAGCGGCAATCCCTGACAGAGAGCACAGCTGCAGTAGCTGTACTTTCTGTCAGTTCCCTGACAGCTCCAGGACACGCTGATCAGGACAGAAGAGTTTCTCTCTCCCAATCAGCGGTGTCCCGTGCAGCACACCCCCCCGCCCCCTAGTAAAACACTCCCCTCACACAGTTAACCCTTTCCCTGAAAAATAAACTTAACCCCTTCCTCCCCAGTGCCATTAGTACAGTGTCAGTGTTTTTTTTTTTTGCACTGATCACTGTATTGGTGTCACTGGGGATGTCAGTGACCCCAAGTCAGTACCCCCAATGTCAGAATGTCCGCCGCAGTCCTGCCATAAGTCGCTGATTGCCTCCATAAGTCACTGATCGCCGCCATAAGTCGCTGATCGACGCCATTATTAGTATAAAAAAAATTAAAATCCCAATATCTTTCCCGCCATTTGTAAACGCTATAACTTTCACGTAAACCAATTAATTTACATGTATTGGGTTTTTTTTTTAGCAAAGACATGTCGCAGAATGCATTTTGGCAGAAATTTATGACTAAATTTGATTTTTACATTTTTTTTTACTGGACATGTTTTATAGCAAAAAGTCCAAAATATTGTTTTTTTTTCCTCAAAATTGTCAGCCTTTTTTTTTATAGCGCAAAAAATAAAAACCGCACTGGCGATCAAATACCACCGAAAGAAAGCTCAATTTGTGGGGAAAAAAAGGATGTAATATTCATTTATGTACCGTATTGCGTGACCGCGCAATTGTCCGTTAAACTAGCGCAGCGCTGTATAGCAAAAAAATGGTGTAAATTGCAGTATCTATACCATAGTTTGTAGACGCTATAACTTTCACACAAAGCAATCAATATATACTTATTGGGATTTTTTTTACCAAAAACATGTAGCAGAATACATTATGGCCAAAATTTATAACCAACTTTGAGTTTACTATATATTTTTTATAGCTGAAAGTAAAAAAATATTGTTTTTCTTCAAAAGTTTTGGCATTTTTTTTGTTTATAGTGTGAAAAATAAAAAGCGCACAGGTGATCAAATACCACTGAAAGAAAGCTCTATTTGTGTGAAAAAAAGGACGTAAATTTCGTTTGGGTGCAGCATTGCATGACCGCGCAATTATCAGTTGAATTAGTGCAGCGCCGAGTAGCAAAAAGAGGCGTGGTCATTAAGGGGGGTAAATCCTCTGGAGGTCAAGTGGTTAAAGCAATACTGCACTAGGGAAAATCTTTTTGCTTGGGCTCATTTGTTATGAGCCTTCCTTTTTAAGGAGATCCTTGGCGATTTTACACTGCAAGTGTGGCTCCCCCTGGTGTTTGCATGAGTGTACTACTGGTGCCTGGATGCTTTGATGGTGTGCTGCTTATCCAACTGATGACCTCGGTGTTCCAGTTACCAGATGCTGATGACCAGGACTTGGTCCTAATGTACTCAAATGCGCATTGATTTGCGCTATCTGGTTAGTGCAATCTACACTTGTTTATCTTAACACCTATATCACAGATTTCCATTGATCTACACTGATTGAATTTTACTTCACCTTATGCACTTTTAAACGCCAGGTTTGGACGTTTTTTTTTTTTTACAAAGTTTATTTGCATCACGCCATACTGCGTTTTTGAGTTTTATTGATTTAACCGTATGTGCTATTATTAATATAAGTGATTTGCTAACTACTATATGATGATCCAGATCATGCGGATAAAAATTGGACTTTTGGCCTAGATGGTCTTTATATTTTATGTTGATACAGTTTTAGCGCTGCATGCTTATTTTATATGGTTTACAGAAGGTTCAGAGGTTTTTACCTTTCATGCTAACCGCTTTTCTTATTTACATCCAGCGCTCGTTTTTACCTATATTATTTAGGCCTCTTGCACACAACACTGATGTTTGAGCATCAGCATTTCTGGGCGTAATTTCAGACGTTTGCTTTGTTCATATTCGCACATACAATACACCTCTATGCAAAATCCAGTAGTAATCATGCTCTTATGCACATACCGATGCAAAATACTGACCAGGAACGCAGATTTTTCTATTTTTTTGTTACTCAAGAATATGCAGCACTTGTTTACATGTCTATGTGTACAGACACTAATAAACAATGAGCACTAATAAACAATGAGCTGATTTTAGATCAGTAAAAAAATTTTACTTTTTCAAGCTTCGGTGTTTAAGAGGCCTACACAGTACGATTGTGACCATAAGCAACCAAATTAATGAGCATTTGTTTTATAGGAAAAGCAATACATTGCAGACTGGTGGCCAGATTCTTCTGCACCACCATGGAAGTTCCACATTTCCATAACACTTCAGTCTGCAGTAAAGTGCTCAATTCTCTTTAGTTGGATACAATGATTTCACAGAGAATTCCCATTCATGAGATTTAGGCAGGCTTGTACTTACCTCATAATTTTCACTGTCTCTTCTTAAAATGACTATTTCATTCTCACTTTTCAGTGCAGCATTTAAAACAAGGTTCAGGCTGTAGATACTGGCCTGTAGAATAGACGTTAGTGTTTTAGATATCACAATCATTGTGATTCATTAATTCCATATTATATGTTGATTTATGTGTTTGAATACATTTGATACCTCTCTGAACTCATAACTGTGAAACAATTAAACTGCCATTAACACCATTGCTTTGTGGTAACACATGCTACTGTAATGCAGAGCAACATGCGATGATCCGCTATGTGGAGCATTGTGCTGCCATTCATTTTTAATGGCACACCAACACTTTGTCAAAGGCATAGCATTTAGAAATATTGACTTTCTGTGTGTAGAGCCCCTGTAGATAGCCAGGGAGGCTAGTTTTATTGTTAGTAAGAAAGGCTAAGCAGCAGACTGGGGAGTAGTTAGCAGAGTCAAATTTGGGTTCAGGCTGAGAGGCTCTGCAGATCAGTTCCTTAATACCTCCCCTGCTCTAGAATCTTGGAGAAGATTCTAGAAGCAGTAGGCGGGGTTGAGGAGGGGCTGATCTGCATACTTAGGGGATCCTGACCAATCCCCAGGCAGGAGGCTCGATCACTGGGTCCCAGCCAGAGATTCCCCGCCAGCACCCGGCGATCACTGAGAATCAGTGACAGGGGAGAGACCTGTGTGTAAACAACACAGGTCTCTCTCCTGCCAGCAATAACATGCTGCTGTGTATTTCTCTGCACAGCACAGTAGAGAAATACACAGCAGCATGTTTCCCTAGTAAAACACGCACAGAACACACAGTAACAACAGCACACAGTTAACCCTTTGATCACCCCAGATGTTAACCCCTTCCTTCCCAGTGCCATTAGTACAGTGTCAGTGCTTTTTATTAGCACTGATCACTGTATTGGTGTCACTGGGAATGTCAGTGGCAGTTAGTCAGTTCTCCCCCAGTGTCAGAATGCCCATCACAGTCCTGCAGCCCTGCTATAAGTCGCTGATTGCCGCCATTACTAGTATAAAATAAAAAAAATTCCAGTATATATACCGCCATTTGTAGACGCTATAACTCTCTCGTAAACCAATTACTTTACATGTATTTGGATTTTGTTTTAGCAAAGACATGTAGCAGAATACATTTTGGCCTAAATTTATGACGAAATTTGATTTTAAATTTTTTTTACTGGATGTTGTATAGCAAAAAGTCAAAAATATATATATTATTTTTTCAAAATTGCCAGTCTTTTTTATAACGCAAAAGATAAAAAATGCACAGGTGATCAAATACCACCGAAAGAAAGCTCTATTTGTGGGAATAAAAGGACATGCATTTCATTTTGGGTGTAGCGTTGCATGACCATGCAATTGTCAGTTAAAGTAGCGCAGCGCCGTATTGCCAAAAATGACCTGGTCAGGAAGGGGGGTAAATCCTCTGGAGGGCAAGTGGTTAATCCGCTCTGGTCTAATCACTTGATCCTGTAACTCCATTTTCTCCGTGTCAGTGAATGACTACTGCAGGGGAGAGAAGGGAGAGCCGACAGCTGGGACATGGGAACCTATTGGTGATGTTATGGCTTCCGGAATTCACAGCTGCTGTTGAGCGCTCCCTTACACACAGCTGCAGGATCACATGACTGTACTGGAGTGCAGGGTTGGGACAAAGGGTGCATAGTACCAGGATGACCTTGCCCCGGTACTGCTGGAGTGGATTGAAAATAGGTTCATACACCAGTATACAGGTTAGGCAAGATAGGTAAGAGGAGGGGGGAGGGAACGATTCTGCTAAATTCAGTATTCTGCTAAAGTATTATTCAGATGAAGGGAAGAGAAGGTGCAACTACCTTAATAAAAGTTGCTTTCCATATTCTTAATGATACGTTGATGTGTGTGCTGTCAGATGGGTCAATGGTGCAGTTAAAGGAGGAGCACTTCATTCTCTTGCAGTCCTGTATTAAAATAAGGCATTGTTCATGTCACAAGAAAATATATACATCAAATAAAATAATTACAGCTTAGCATTTAAAGCTGAACTCCAGGCAAACAAATTATTTCACCATGCAGTGGGGCCATACCCCCACTGCATGGGTCAACTGCTCATTTTTCCTAGGGATGAGCACAAAGCTCATACTCACCAGACCCACCGATCCTCCGGAAAACTGCACTCCCCATGGTCCAGAGGTGGACTGTTCCTGTTTTAGGGCTGTCCTTTGATCATGCTGATGTCAGGAGCAGTCCATTTACAAGACCACTGGTCTACAGGAGGGGGATTTGGTTGGGTAGGGGAGGGGAAGGGACCTATTTTGTGTAGGAAAGATCGACAGGTCAGGTGAGTATATCTACGCTATCCTCTCCCCTAGAACAAAACAAACTGTTACCTGTGCAGTGCGGGCACAGCTCCACTGGCACAGCTCCACTGTATGGGCAAAAGAATATGTATAGCAAAACTTTACTTTTTTTTTGGACAGAGTAGGGAAGGGCTGAAACCCCTGTTTTGCAGGTGGTGCTCAACTTACTCCTCTATGGTTTCCTGGGTCACCAGGAATCAATCCGGTTGGATATCACTGTCCCATGTGACTCTGGAGGCCCTCTTTGGTCAAGCAGAGTATTTTTAAGGCACTGGCTCCTGGGTTTGTTGCACATTTTGTGGGTGGACAGTGTACGTAAAAGTTACCCATCTGCCAGGGAAAGTGAATAGCAGCAGTGAAAGGTTCTGGATGAGTAGGGATCGGACAGGGACACACTATCCTCTCCAGGAATCCTCCTAATTGGGCATGGAATTGTCGAGCTCCATTCCACCCTCTGAGACAGACGCTGTCAGTGCATCAGAATCTGCTCTGCTTTACATTGGCACATAGAACTGGTGTTCTGAAGCGGGTCCCTCTGGTCCTGCTGGGTTGTTTGTGACTTGAGCCAATACTTCAAAACAAGTTTTGTTTTTTGCAACTGGACTCTGTGACCACTTTCGCCACACCGTTTTGCACCCACCCACAAATGGATGGACATACATTTTACTAAGAGAACAGCTTCTTCTTCTTTAGTAAATTAAACTTAGTGTCAGTTCTGTTGATAGCTCCTTATCCACATGTTCTTACTCTATATGTACCTGCATATCTACAGTATGTGCAAGGCAGTGAGAGACCAGGGGTGATGTAGTAGGTAAGTTGCCGACATGAGCCATCCTTTTTTGCCAAAAGTAAAGCTTATACTCATCAGAATGACAAAAATTTTACTTTGTAAAATTTTATTTTGTGGTAGTTTCTTCCTTTGTCTCATAGTTACATAATGTGATTGAAAAAAAGATCCACATCAAAAGGAAAATAACAAAAATAAAGCCTTACCATTATTGTATCTTTTATTTTTTCTTCAAACTTTTGCAACACATATTTAGTTCCTGAATGTATATTTAAAGGATCCAAAAGATGATCAGCATTGCAAATCACATTCTGGAAATAAAACATATAATATTGTTTTAGGTCATACAAAATTTTAAATACAAGTACAAGATATGTATTCTATATAACAGATTTTACCTCTAGTTATAAACTATAATACTTTAACTATAATCTATGCAAGAAAGAAACAGAATGATGTACTGTATTAGACAGGGATATGTAGAGAAGACAAAGGGATTGATTTCCGAAAGGACAATAGACTGTGCACTTTGCAAGTGCGGTTGCACTCTGCATGTGCAGTTGCTCCAGAGCTTAGTAAGTGAGGTAAAGCTTCACTTTACAAAGCATACCCAATCACCTGCAAGGAAGAAACAAAAAAACATTTTTGCTTGCACATGGTTGGATGATAAAATGTTGCAGAGCTTCTCCTTATTTACTAAGCTCTGGAGCAACTGTGCACAGTCTAATTTGTTTTTAGTAAATCCACCCCAAAATGTTTTGTCACAGTGATAACTTTTAGTGGCTAACTAAAAATACTAAAAATATACACGCTTCGGGAGCCCATAAGCTCCTCCTTCAGTTAATACATGGTATGATTATTATTTTTATTAATTATTATTATTTTCAAGCAAGCACTGGCTGTCCGTTTACACCCGGCTGCCCTCAGATCTGATCCTGTCAGACGGAGGGTAACAGATCCCCCTTCCATTTGTTTTTGCTGGATCATATTAGAGGTAGCCAAATGTAAACAGGCACAAGTCCGTTTAATGCGACTGGCCATAGAGTTGAATGGAGGGTCAGGCGGACCGGACCGCTGGTGTGAAAGGGGTCTCTAGCTTTTAAAATGAAAGCTAGAAGCTGATTAGTTGTCATGCACAGCTGCTCCATATTCTGGCTGCTCCAGTCAATAAATTCTCCCCCGCGTGTTGAAAATGTCTTTGATCCTTGCATTCTGACTTATAACGTATTATTTCTTTTTTTTTTTTTTTTAAAGTAAACATTTTTATTAAATATTGCAGAAGGCACAATGTGCAAAAAGAACTGTTGCAAAAAGGTCTCCTATAACAGACTGTATCCAGAATATAAATTGGGTTCAGATCATCCATGAAACAGGGGTACTAAGTGTCAACTGTAACAAATATGTAAATGTGCAAATGGTCAAACTGCCATCCAACAAGAAAGGCCTCAGAGTGGAGACTACACAGAAGGCAGCTTCTTCAGGAGGAGGGAAGAATCAGTCTTCTTAGATCCTGAGATCTGCAGGGAAGATCATGCTGTATTTCAGGCCCTTAGGCTCCATTCACATCAGAGCCAGGGGCGGACTGACAACTCATAGTGCCCCCCGGGCAATATGGGATCATGGGGCCCCTGTGTCCTTGCCCAAACTCAAAAAAGCCTATGAAAAAGGCACCAGGGACATCTCATGGGGCCCCTTATTGACCCTGGGCCCTCGGGCAGTGCCCTAGTTTCCAAATGGTCAGTCCGCCCCTGATCAGAGCATAGTGTTTTTGTGCATATTTTACGATTTTAGCACGTTTTTATACAGCGTTATTAACAGTTTTTGAGCTTTGGCATTTTTTTTTTTTCAATAAAGATTTATTGAGCATCGAAAAATATAAACATAGACAAAAGCATGGGTTGTATCAATACAACAGTTTGCTAGAAGCATCTAGCCTTATAAAGAGAGTAAGTCAGACAAAAAGAAAGAAAATAAAAAACTTGGCACGGAAGTTGAACACAGAGGAATGAGGGGGCAGACCCCAACTTAGAGAACTAAGAGGAGGATGTGAATCTAGCAGGACAAAAAATAAAGAGGTTTTGAGTAACTATGGTCATAAGAACCTATTGTCAATATCGTGCGTAGATTCATGATAGACCAGAACATGGAATCATTGACATTATAGAAAATGTTTGAGAATGGTGGATGTGGAGAAATTACACTGAGGTAACTGATAATGTGATTCTAGGTCAGGCATGAAAATGTTAAGTTTAGCATGCCGGAAGCACTGTCCCAGCAAAAGAAAGGGAAAAGAGAGAGAAAGAAAAAAAAATGGGGGGGGGGAGAGAGAGGGAGGGAGGGGTAGGGAAGGCGGAAGGGGGGGGGGGAACGTAGCTTAAGTTATCGAGGAAGGATGACAGAGGGGGGTAGCATGTGTCTCTCGCCCTCTCTGCCGAACGCCGAAGCATCACCCCTCCCCCATTATTTCTTAGTTGAGTGTCCCACTGGGACCGCACAGTTTTGATATTGTCTGCACCTACTCTTGAGGTATTATGAGTGCATGTAAACTTTAACCCCTTCATGCCTAAGGGTAAAACAAATCTTAATGCCTAAGCACAATTTTGCAACGTTGACATGTGTTAGTAAAACCGTACAAATCATCACAACTGCTTTGTACATCCAGATGAATTATACTGGATGTACAAATACTTATTCAGGTGAAATTGGGCTTTTATTTGGTGGTAAATGGTAATGGATATCTCCTGATTTTTTTTTTCATTATCAAAGGAAAACTGGCCCAAAATAATAAAAAAAATAATATTTTTTTTAATTTACCTGTGTGTTTCTTGTTACTACCATAACCTACCACCAAAGAACAACCCAAAATAAATTTTCCAGCTCTTGACGATCGCAGCGATACCATATATGTGTATATTATTTGCTGTTTGTACCCGTAGTACAGCCCAGCAACAATAGTGCACATTTTGTTTTTGTCTTTTTACTTAAAACACACTGACACTAACTGACACTGATACCAATTTTTTTTTTAAATCCTGACCTTTGACCTTGACCTTTGACCCTGGCCCAAACACTTACCCTGGCACTGAACTAGATCACACTTTGATATAGGTATTTTTTTCTTTATTTTTTCTTTTAGTTTTAAATATTTATTTATTTACTTATTTAATTTTTTAAACTTTTTTTTCTCTATGCCAGGAGTTAGAGAGATACAATGTATCTCTCTCCTCCATTCATAGAGAAAAAAAAACAAGGGGGGAGGGCTATACAGTGACTGATCACTGTGATACCCAATCAGAGGCTATCACAGCGATCATGTGACCCGGAATTGGGAGTCCCAGATCCCGATCGTTAGAACGGGACCCGGTGCTCTCAGTGACACCCCGGTTTTTGTGCTGGGAGCGCACTGTACAATGCGCTCCCAGCAGAAAGACAGGTAGGCAAATATGCAGCCATCGGAAAAAAAAGCCCAGTTCTGTGAGGCCGCATATTTGTGTGACTTCGGCACAAAGGGGTTTTCCTATACCTAGTCTAAATGTGTCTCTTTCTCATATTATCATGACTACTGGGACGGACTGACCATTTGGAAACTCGTGCACTGCCCGAGGGCCCGGGGTCAGTAGGGAGCCCCATGAGATGCCCCTGGTACCTTTTTCATAGGGTTTTTTGAGTTTGGGCAAGGACACAGGGGCCCCATGATCCCCTATTGCCCGGGGGCCCCATGAGTTGTCAGTCCGCCCCTGCATGAGTATGTATAATATGTCTGGGAAATAACAGTATTTTCCTGCACCATAAGTGATGCTTTTTTCTGTTATTTTGTTTGAACTGATTAAAAAAAAAAAAATAAAGGAAAAAATCCTGAAAAAAGAAAGCACATGCAGACACCACATATAGGGACTGGTAAGATGCAGTATATGACATGTTTCTTCCTGGGTTTACATATGATTTATCTATTCCAGGGGATTAATACTATCTTCTAGAAAGCACACACTCTCTTTAAAAGGCTCAGTTCACACTGTGTGTTATGCACCACCTGCAGCCCAATCACACTGCCCTTAGGAGATGCGCTGGGCTGCCATTTATTATGAATGACACCCCCAAGCATCTCAGCCCGCAGTACGATTGTGCGTGCAAGAACCGCATGGTCAAAAAGACCATGCAGTTTCCCTGAGGCCGTGTTTTAAAAAAGATGCATGCACCTTTTTCTATGCGTAAACACAGGCATAGCAGCCCATTCAAATGATCAAACTGCCTGGGCAAACGCGGATCGCACAGTCCACAATAGTGGGCTGAACGTACCCTGGAAGAAAGCTTGTAAGCAAAAAAAAAAAAAAAAAAAGTAATTGAAAATACGTCATATAACAAATTCTATGATCAGCATAAACTTAAACAAACAATTTTGACCTTAGAGTATTATAATTAAATTACTTTTAAAAATGAATTAAAAATTCTAATTAAAAATAATAATTTTCTCCTATTGGATTCAAGAAGCATGTATTGGTATGCAATTGAAGCAGGAACAAGCAGTAATGAAAGTCAACGTACATCCGAAAATGACATATTGCCCAGATAAAGGAGAATGTTGCCATCTGGAGTTGTGTATGGGAATGAAAGATGAAATGTAACCCTTGGCATAGGAATGTAGTCATCCTTCTTAATCTGAAATTAAAAAAAACACATTTAAATTTGATATTTGACATTTAAAAAAAAACTTTAATTGCAATCATTTAAATAGTTAGGGGAATTCTTAAACTTTTCCCATAAATATATCAGCATGAATTAACCCCTTCACGTCTAAGGGGAAAACAAATCTTAAAGCCTAAGCACAATTTTGCAATGTTGACATGTTTTAGCAAAACCGTACGTATCACCACAACTACTGTGTACATCCAGGTGGATAATACCTTGTTTTTCTCAGGACAAATTGAGCTTTCATTTGGTGGTAAATGGTAATGTATATCTCCAGTTTTTTTTTTTATTATCAAAGGAAAACTGACCCAAAAATAGTAAAAAAAAAAAAAACATTTTTTTGATCTAGCTATATATTTCTTGCTACTACAATAACCAACCACCAAAGAACCCAAAATAATTTCTCCTGCTCCTGACAATTGTAGCGATACCACATGTGTGTATGTTAGTTGTTTGTTCCCGTAGTACAGCCCAGAAACAATAGTGCACATTTTGTTTGTTTTTTTTTTAATCCTGCTTTAAAATGACATTGATAAAAAAAATCCTGACAAAAAAAAAATACTGACTATGACCCTTGACCCTGACCTTTGACCTTGAC